GTTACCCCCTCTCCTCAGATGGCAGCCTGCGGCAAGTGCAGCCGGGCTGATGGCCGAGTGCTGTGATGTGCCCAGTGTGGGCACTCAGGGCACTCCAAGCCAGGACTGCTTTGCAAGCGGGGAGCCCTGAGAACTGTCTGTCCGGGGTGGGAGTCGGGACCCTTTAAGCACAGCCCTCGGCTAGCCTGAGACAGCATCTCCACGCTCTAAGTCCTCCTCTGATGCCCTGCCGGCACTGCTTCCGGCCATCCTTAAGCCCTGTTCAGGGTCCACTCAATGTGGACATGCTAGTTCGAATTAGCAAAATGCTAATTCGAACTAGTTTTTTAGTCTGGATCCGTTAGTTCGAATTAACGTTGTAGTGTAGACATACCCAGGGTGGTTAAACACTGGAATAAATTGCCTGGGGAGGTTGTGGAATCTCCATCCCTGGAGATATTTACAAGCAGGTTGGACAGACACCTGTCAGGGATGGTTTAGACAGTGCTTGGTCCTGCCATGAGGGCAGGGAACTGGACTATTCTAGTGTTCTTAAAAACCAAAGTCACTCCCTGTGTCTGCAGAGACGGCTTGTCATTCTCTGCATGTTCCCAGCTAGCACCAGAAGGCTCTGACCTGGGGAGTGTGATGGAAATGATTCGATAACCACACCTCGTCCTGGGCACAGATCTCGCGTCACCGGCTGGGAAGGGTTCTCCTCAGCCGTCAGCAGATGTCACTATAGGCCTTGTCTATCCTGGCAGCAGCGTGTGGGGTCCAGGGAGCTGTATCTCACCCTGACCAGCAGTCTGTGCTCTCAGTGTGTAGCCATGTAGCTTGGTGCAGCACCTAACGCCCAGGTGTCCTGTCACCCAAGGGAATTTATAGTCCCCAGTTCGGTGCCCAGGCTCCCACGCATTGGGCAGGGGCCTAAGAAAGGGAGTCGCTGAAGCCGGCAAGGTGAGTCAGCGAAATCAGCCAGACAGCAACGCCGAGGAGAGAGGCAGCTTTGGGCCCTGCTCCTCAAAAGCTAGTTAGGTACCTGCGATCCCTCTCCCTCTGCTCAAGAGCCACCATCCCTCCCATGGAGCCAGGTGCATAGAGGTCAGCCCTTCCACCTGTCTGTCCTCACAGGCACCTCCATCTCCACGAGGGCCAACAGCCCCACGTTTAGGGCACTCGCTCCCCTGGGGGAGACCTGGTCGGCCCGACTCGGAGCCTGGTCTCCCACGACCCTGCTGAGGGCCCAGACCACTAGGCACTGGTCTCTCCCCCTCTTTCTGACCCAGGGATACTTAAAACCTGACGGGGATTAGACACCCACAGGGGAGCTGACCTGTTCAGCGGCATCAGGACTTGGGCAGGTTGGCCTGTGCCCAGCAGTGGAAACTGGGCAGCGGTTCTTGGTCTCCTCCTCAGGCACCACTGGAGGCAAGATCTGACCTCCATTTCTCCCTCCGCACTCAGGCACTAACCCCATCTCAGCCAAAGAAAGGAGGTTGCCCGAGACGCACAGGTGAGAATGGCAACCGGGCCTCCTCTGAGGAAGAAGCCATCGCCCACAGTGTGTCTGGGTCATGCAAAAGGTGGGCTCCGTCAGGGTCCTCGTGGCAAACATGCCGCCCCACACGTCTTTCAGGGCTTGGCTCCTGCTGGCCAGCGCCCCAGGCCAGAGGGTCTTGAGCTTGCGGGGAGGAAGGAGCCGGCCAGCCGGGGTGTTGCTGAGTTGAATGAGCCGCCCGGAGACTGGTTCTCTGAACAGCCCCGGGAGCAGGGCTCTGGAAGAGAAGCAGAGTGTGTGTGGGGTGGGGATGGAAGGGGAAAAGGGATTAGCAGGGAGAGGACAGTGAGAGGGAAACCGTGTAAGGGGCCCATGGGTGGGCAGTACAGATGACAGGTAACCGCACCCACCAGCCTCATCGCAAGCAGCCAGGGCTGGCTGGAAATGGGACTGGGGATGAAGGGGGCGGCTGGCCCCACACACTGCAGCTGTGCCCAAATACCAGCCTTGCACACTCCCCCCCTCTCCCATCATCAGCCAGTGGACTCTCCCCCCGACACACACACACACTCACTGCTGGGGGGTGGGCCGCTGGCGAGCAAGGATCCGGCCCGCACCAGGACCCACCACTGATGGGAGGGGAGAGACAGAAAATATGGGACAACTGGCCCGTTGATTACAGAAAAAGTCGGGGCAGGGTGGGCTGAAATGCAGGACTGGCCTTGTAAAAATGGGACATGGCCTCACCCTATTTACAGAGATCGGTGCACAGGGAGCGGCGTGTCAACGTCCAGGCTGTTCCGTGTCGCTCTGACCCAGCGGATCGGCTCGCAGTGCGGCACCTCGGTCACTCGGTGGATAACAATCGCTTGTCGGCTCCCCAGCTGGCTTTTCACGGGCAATTTGCACAATTCCCTCCGCCCCAGCAGCCGGACACAGGGTGTGTGGGGGGGGATTCCCCCTCCTTCACATCCGGCTGCGGGGCTCCGGGGGAAGGCGATAAATTGCAAATGGGTTCCCAGCTAGTAAATGTAATCCATACACATAGGCCACGTCTACACTGCAGGCTTCTGGCATGAGAACTTTTTGTGGAAGAGATCTTCTGCAAAAAGTTCTTGCGCACGAGCGCGGCCACACTGCCATGGATGCTCTTGTGCAAGAAAGCTCTGATAGCCGTGCCCAGAAGGGCCGTCAGAGCACCCTGCTTTTTCCCATAGGAGTTTCTTGTGCAAAACCCCCGTCCTGCCCGTCCACACACACCTTTTTGCACAAGAGCGCTTGGCAAAACGGCTTATTCCTTGTAGGAAGAGGAATAACTCCTGCGCAAAAAGCCCTGTCTTCTGACGCTCTACTGCACTTTTTCTCATGCAAAGACACACTTGTAGTGTGGCCGCTCCACGAGTTTTTGCGTAAAACCGGCCGTGTTTAGATGTAGCCTCACAGAGAGAATAAGGGGGGAAGTTGAAAAATTGCAAATGGGTTCCCAGCTAGTAAATGTAACCCATACACATAGGCCACGTCTACACTGCAGGCTTCTGGCATGAGAACTTTTTGTGGAAGAGATCTTCTGCAAAAAGTTCTTGCGCACGAGCGCGGCCACACTGCCATGGATGCTCTTGTGCAAGAAAGCTCTGATAGCCGTGCCCAGAAGGGCCGTCAGAGCACCCTGCTTTTTCCCATAGGAGTTTCTTGTGCAAAACCCCCGTCCTGCCCGTCCACACACACCTTTTTGCACAAGAGCGCTTGGCAAAACGGCTTATTCCTTGTAGGAAGAGGAATAACTCCTGCGCAAAAAGCCCTGTCTTCTGACGCTCTACTGCACTTTTTCTTGTGCAAAGACGCACTTGTAGTGTGGCCACTCCACGAGTTTTTGCGTAAAACCGGCCGTTTTTGCGGAAAAACTCTGCAGTGTAGACATACCCTAGTGTGGTTCACTGGCCCAGGTAGTGACATGTAGACCACTTACAGCAGAGAGCTAAGAACAAGGGAGCTGTACAGCCAAAGTCGAGCGCCATCTGACTTCGTAGCTTAAGCTGTAGCAGCTACTACACTAAGCTCCAGGTGTCTCCGGTTCAAATCTACCCAATGGCAGTTACATTCTAAGGAGCAACTTTTAAGAGAACGGGGAGTGGAAAAGAAACCTCTGGCTTCTTCTTCACCAGCTGCTTTCCTGGTGTCCCTGACAGATCTCTGCAATGAGGTGGTTTTCCTATGTGGCTAAGGGCCAGGGCAGTAGCTAACATGGGGCAGAATTCGTGAGTCTTCTTCTCTCGGGGCCTGGCACCCGGATGTGAAAGTGGGAGAAATTCCCTCCTGTGTCCGGCTGCCGGGGAATGGTGCAAATTGCCCCTGAAAAGCCAGCTGGTGGCCTGCGGGGAGCTGACAAGCGATTGTTATTGACCAAGTGACAGGGGCAGCATTGTGAGTCGATCCGCTGGGTCAGGACGACACTCTATTGTTTCCAGCAGCAAACAACCTGTCTTGGGAGAGCGTTTAATTTATGCGCCTCTCCCACTGCCCCGCTCTCTATAAATGGAAGGACTTTCCAGCCTCCCTGAGGATCAGTCTCACTTAGCTCAAACTCTCTCTGCTTCTCTCCAGAGTCCCTGAGACCCCTGCTGCCCTCCAGCCATGATGAGTTTTCACCTGTCGCTTGCTGTTCTTCTCTTGCTCTCCCTGGCTGCTTCAGGTAACATGGAAACCAATATTTAGTGGTAAACTAGGGGACTGGGAGATCCTAGGAAGCAAAGATCAGATGGGCAGAATTCTAGTTCTCAGGAGCGTTAACAAGGGGTGGTACATGCCCATGAGCAATTTAGGACCTGTCAGACTGGACCCGATTGTGAGAGGGGCTCCGATCTTGAGAATTAAAAAGGCTGCATTGTGCCGCGTACTGCAACTACACCTGAATTATTGCTTTGTGACACCCCTGCAAATATAGCACAGCTCTAATAAACAACACACGGGGAGCTGCTGGGTTGTACTGTTTGCCTGGGAAGTGTTGTACATTAGTACCCTAGTGAAAATGACCTGGTCGGCTTTTTGTGTTGAAAAAAATGACTTTGTCTGATTGTTCAGGTTTCTATTGCTTTTATTCATATATTTTGCAACCCCCAAGTTTCCAAACTTTGAAATCTGAACATTTTCAAATGTGAGGAGATTTGGGATGGAATCAGAAGAGCCCTGCAAATCCAGGGATATCTGCTTTATACCCGCGGGTGTCAGCATCCACAGAAGTGACTGCGGGTATCTGCGGCTCATTTTTGCAGCTACAGAGGCACATGTGGATACAAATGTTGTATCTAGAACCCTGCAATGTGTACAAACATTGAGTAGTCCTCTGGCACCTCAGCTCTGGTCTACACTAGGGGCTCGTCTACATTGGCCCTCTGCGGCTCATTTTTGCAGCTACAGAGGCACATGTGGATACAAATGTTGTATCTAGAACCCTGCAATGTGTACAAACATTGAGTAGTCCTCTGGCACCTCAGCTCTGGTCTACACTAGGGGCTCGTCTACATTGGCCCCTTTTCCGAAAGGGGCATGTTAATTTCAGAGATCGTAATAGGGAAATCCGCGGGGGATTTAAATATCCCCCTCGGCATTTAAATAAAAATGTCCGCTGCTTATTCCTACTTTGAAGTAGGAATAAGATCCTCCGGAAAAGGGCACTTTTTCCAGAGGCGCTCTTTTCCGGCTTTTCTAAAAGCCGGAAAAAAGCGGCGGACATTTTTATTTAAATGCCGCGGGGGATATTTAAATCCCCCGCGGATTTCCCTATTACGATCTCTGAAATTAACATGCCCCTTTCGGAAAAGGGGCCAGTGTAGACGTAGCCTAGGGCTTTATTTCAAAATAATCCCCTTAGGTCGAATTAATAAGCAAAGTGTCCACGCTACCAAGATAATCCCCTTAGGTCGAATTAATAAGCAAAGTGTCCACACTACCAAGACCGTTTTTTCAAAATAATGGGCTGATTATTTCAAAATCTGTACTCCTGCTTTCCTCAGGGAATAATGCTAATTTCAAAATAGTTATTTCGAAATAGCGGTTGTGTGGATGTTCTAGTGCCACTATATCGAAATAACGACTCCCTAGAGTCATTCAAAGTAATTACTCCCCAGCGCTTCCTGGGGCTCTAAGTCGAAGTGGCGTGTCCACATTGACAGAGTCTGCATCAGACTAATTTGCGGCTTTTCTGTAGTGGGGACATGCTATTTCGATTTTATTAAATCAGGAGCTATTAAATCAATTGTAGTTATTTCAGAATAGTTTCAGTGTAGACATAACCCTCGAGACTAAGAAATATATAGGATCATGAGCTTTCATGGGCAAAACCCACTTCATCAGATGCAGTGGAGTGGAAAGAACAGAACCCAAGGTATATATAACAGCAAAAGCAGTTTCCTGTCAATTGTAGGACCCATGTAAATCAAGCTAATTAAGTAGGCTGGATGTGTCCCATTCATAGCTTTTGATGTGAAAATGTGAATGTCAAAGGCAGGGGAAATTGCCTTTGTAGTGTATTAACCAGTACATATCTTTATTCAAGCCCAAGGAGACAGTGTCAAATCTGAAAATGAATTTTAGTTCAGCACTCTCTCTTTGTAATTGGCTGGTAAAATTCCTTTGTAGAAGACTGGCTACTTTTAAATCCATGCCTGAATGTCTAGGGAGGTCTGCTTTATATCGGTGGGTATCTGCACCTGTGGATGTGGAGGTGGATAGCCGTGAGTTCATTTTTGCTGATACGGATGCGGATATACATTTTGTATCCGTGCAGGGCTCTAGGAACACGAGTCCCTTTTCTCTACCCATCTCCCCCTTTTCACCACTGAATGCAGCAGAATGGGGCATGACTAGGGTTGTCCACACACATTTTTACTTTTTTTTCATTTTTTGAACTTTCCAAACTCCCCGAGCTTTGGGGAAACAGAGAGACATTCCCAAGGGGCAAAGTTTCCTTTGTTCCTTAGACCACTTGGTAATGTTTCCAAAGAGAAGTTGCCGAGAAGGAAGTGACTGTGTGTGAAGATCTCAAGCATTAGACTTCATGTAATTCTTCTGGGTGTCACATTTTAGGGAGGATGTGGACAAACTGGAGAAAGTCCAAGGAGCGCAACAAAAATGATTAAAGGTCTAGGAACAGGAGTGGCCCAAGGCCGACTGTGGCAGCTGGTGCCCCAGGCAAAAGATGCGATCGGCGTCCCCACCTGCACAACCGTCAATGGCCATGACGTAATCACGGGGCGCCCCATGATGTCATCATCAGGTGCCCAGGCCGGCGGCGCCCTAGGCAACTGTCTAGTTTGCCTAGCCTCACGGGCCACCCCTGTCTAGGAAACATGCCTTCTGAGGATAAGACAAGAAGCAATGGGATTAAATTGCAGCAAGGGAGGTTTAGGTTGGACATTAGGAAAAACTTCCTGTCGGGGGTATGTCTAAACTACACCCCTCTGCTGACAGAGGGATGTGGATTAGGTACATTGCTATTGCAAATGAAGCGGAGATTTAAATATCATTTGAATAGAAATGGCCGCCGCTTTTTGCCGATGCAGCACTTTGCCGGTGAAAAGCGGCAGTCTAGATGGGGATTGGTCGACAAGGAAAGCCTTTTCCGACTGATCCCTTATGCCTCGTGCAACGAGGTTTCCAGAATTGGTCGGAAAAGGCTTTCCTTGTCGACCGATCCCCGTCTAGACTGCTGCTTTTTGCCGGCAAAGTGCCGCGTCGATAAAAAGTGGCGGCCATTTCTATTCAAATGAAGCGCGGGATATTTAAATCCCCGCTTCATTTGCAATAGTGATGTGCCTACTCTACATCCCTCTGTCGGCAGTGGGGTGTAGTTTAGACACATCCAGGGTGGTTAAACACTGGAATAAATTAACTAGGGAGGCTGTGGCATCTCCTTTATTGGAGGGTTTGGGGAACAGATTAGACGAACACCTATCAGGGATGGTCTAGATAATACCTATTCTGGCTGTGAGTGCAGGGGGCTGGACTAGATAGCCTCTCCAGGATCACGTGATGATTCCCTGTTGTGTTCCCTCCCTCTGGGGCATCTGGCATTGGCCACTGTGGGCAGACAGGACACTGGACTAGCTGGACCTTTGGTCTGACCCGCAGTGGTCTTTCTTATGTCCTGAGAAAAGGGGAAAAAGCGAAAATCCAGAATTTTCAAAAGTCAAAATGTTGAAAATTGTTTCATGGAAAAATTTGATTAAAAACATTGGGTATGTCTACACTACCACCCGAGTTCGAACTAGGGTGGTTAATGTAGTCATTTGAAGTTGCAAATGAAGCCCGGGATTTAAATATCCCGGGCTTCATTTGCATCTTGCCGGGCGTCGCCATTTTAAAATCCCCGTTAGTGCGGACTCCATGCCCGCGGCTACACACGGCACGGAGTAGGTAGTTTGGATTAGGCTTTCTAATTCGAACTACCATTACTCCTCGTGTCAGCAGATCCAGAAAAGTGATCATTCCCCTTTATTCGGTTCTGGTGAGGCCACATCTGGAGTATTGTGTCCAGTTCTGGGCCCCCCACTACAGAAAGGATGTGGATGCATTGGAGAGGGTCCAGCAGAGGGCAACCAAAATGATTAGGGGGCTGGAGCATATGACTTATGAGGAGAGACTGAGGGATTTGGGTTTGTTTAGTCTGCGGAAGAGATGAGTGAGGGGGGATTTGAGAGCAGCCTGCAACTCCCTGCAGGGGTGTCCAAAGAGGGCTGTTCTCCGTAGTGTCGGATGGCAGAACAAGGAGCAATGGTCTCAAGTTACAGTGGGGGAGCTCTAGATTGGAGATTAGGAAAAACTATTTCCCTAGGCGGGTGGGAAGCGCTGGGCTGGGTTCCTTAGGGAGGGGGTGGAATCTCCGTCCCTAGAGGTTTTTAAGTCTTGGCTTGACAAAGCCCTGGCTGGGTTGATTGAGTTTGGGTTGGCCCTGCCTAGGGCAGGGGGCTGGACTCGATGACTCCTGAGGTCTCTTCCAGCCCTATGATTCTATGGCTAGTGTGGAGACATAGTGGGGAGTGATTCTCCTTAGAAGATTCTTCACAAGAAGCCGGTGAAGAACCTCCGTGTTCACCTATCCCCCTATGAAAGGCCATATTCCTGCTTGTTAGCAATGTAGACACAGGCGCTGTATGACTTAAATGGTACCATAAAGTATGCAGTACCTGGGGTTTAACCAAGATTAGGTGGCATGAGGATGACCATGGCAGAGTTCTCTGAAGCTGTTCACTTGGGAGGCCATCCAGGAGAGATTCAGCTGCTGCCCAGCTGATTAACAGGCCACCCACAGCTGCCCACAGCCAGTCGCATGTGTTTCTACTGGTGGTGCACATGCACCTGGGTGCACATGACAAAATTTATCCCACACATGGATGGAAAAAATGAGAGGGAACACTGACCATGCATGGTCCTTATCTATGCTGGCTGCCAAAGCTCGTTATCATCACATTAGTTAACTGAATTCCTCACAGCCATCGGGACACAGCAATCCTGTGTCATGTCAACAGGCCCTCAGAAGTTATTCAGTGACACTTCATTTGAGGAAAAGTGTAGTGTAGTAACACAGGTGCAGACTTGGGAAACCCAGGTACAGTCCTTAGCGCTGTTATAGACTTTGCATGGTCTTGTGCCTCAGTTTCTCACCTACAATGGAGGTGCCCCCACTCCCAGGGGTACAGGGAGGAGAAATGTATTTCAGATTGTGAGTTGCACGCATACCGTGGCAACAGGGTCTGGCCAAGTCCTTAGCTGAGAGAGACACCACTTCCGGGAAAATCCAGGGGGTGCCAGAAAATCTTTCGGATACTGCCCAGGCGTGACACGTTCACAGCACCGGGCGCCAGATGTATTCACACTCA